AACAAACAATCCACATTAAGCATTTTAACATTTAATTCTGACTAAAAGTATTACTCTTTCACAATAACAGATTAATGTATTTTCTTTGTTGTTAAAAATCTTCCCTTATTACATTTAATATTCTAAAACAAGTGAAGTGAATTATGGCAAATTAAAATCTGTGAAATCTTTTAAAATTCACTTTGGTGGAGTAAATGCTAGATCTTTGTGTAGACGCATAGCAACTGAGAGATTTAGATAGTAACAAGCTTAGCTCACTGTTTCCTTAATTCATTCATGCACTCATTCACTCAGTGTTTGCCTGCTTATGGTTGTTATGTGGCATGGCGTTGTCTACAGATAACAAACTGTACCAGGATCACTTGCTTCTATGTTACTGTATTTATTAATTTATTCAAATCCGCCAAATAATCTGAACAAATTATATAATTTACTGTATGATAATATATATGATGATACTGTTTATGTTTTTTTCTGATAAACAGACCTTGTATTTGGTGTGGGACAGACCATAATCTCCGATCTTCACTGAGACATTAGCAGACAACAAGCAGTTCCTCAAAGCCAGGTCACTGGTAACAAACAGGGGTGGTGGGGGGGGAGGAGGGGGTAAACAGCTGTTACAGCTCTTCATTATTCATAAATATACAAAACAAGACCAGGACATTGCAGGAGGGTCATATTACTTGAGGCACAAAAATAAAGTCATGCATGCAAAAGCACTAACTCATTGCAAGATTAAATAATTAATCTTTTAAAATTGGCCTAGTTTAACACTCCTATGCAACACATATCAACATCAACTCCTGTCTCTGAAAAAGGTTCTGCAGACTAAATAGATGTTTGAGTTGTTCTGGAGATGAGGGGTCACCGCCTGCAACAAAATCACTGATGCTGGAGTCTGTAAGGAGCACTCAGGCAGCACCAGGATATTGTTCCAGGAAGCAACCGAGAAGCAAAAGGCAGATTTTACTGACCACAGCAACATACTGACTTGGCCTGGTACTGTAATTTTGACGTGTGTGATATTTAATAGAAACTGCTGGCTACCTGTGTGTGAAGTTGTGCTTGTGCATGTGCAAAAGTCCTGAGGCAATGTCACAAGCCATCCGTTGAAGAATCAAGGGCTCTGGGGTCATGGTTTCTGCGGTCCTGCAGCTTCGGAGGTAACCCTTCACATCCCCCTGGACAGAGTAGAGAAAAATAGAAGTTCTGTATGTTGTAACCTCTGACCACTGGAGGGCAGTCTTGTCATTGTACTTAATGGGACCAAGAGTCACCCATTTCTTGTTCAGTCATTTAAATCTGGCTTGGTAATATAATCTGGAATCCTGCATGGAAGTGCAACAGATGAACTAACAAACTTGGTGTCCTCGGGTTTATACCCACAATTAAAATGTGTTGGACGAACAAACCAATCTGCCCATCTGTGGGAATTATTGTTGTATTTGGACTAAAATTGTCTCCTTGACAGAGCCTTTATCCTCTTCTGTCTTTCTAATTACACTAAATTATATAGGTTATGGTTGGTTATCATTGGTTCTGCTGTTTAACTATAAAAAAAATCCAAAATTATATATTTAATTTGAGCAATATATTTAAAATGAGCAATCATCAATTTAACTCACTTAAACTTTGAAGCTAATTAAAAATCGGCATATGTAAAGAGGCAGGAAGCCAGTTCTTAGTTTGTTCTTCCTCAATTATTTGCTTACTTCAGTATCACCACAAATATCATATATACACATATATCCATGTTAAATCTATTGGACTAATCAATTCTTTGGAGCTGATGGTGGATTTTAGGCTGCAGTTTGAGTGGTACAAGTGTAGCATGACTTATTGGTAACTTCGGGATCGCCTGCCAAACATTTGCAGCGGCTGCCAAGAATGTTTTACTGCCAAAAGTAATTAGCAAGAAAATCCCATAAACTACATATTACAAAAAGTTTTTAATCCATTTAATGTACTGAACGGGATATAATGCAGACTTTGAATTGAAAGCAAAGGCCAAAAGACTTGACAGGGGCTTTCATAAACTACAGTACATATCTCATACTGTTATGTCAATACACTTTATTCACCAAATATAGTACAGCCTAAAAATACTTTAACAGCAAAGTCACATTTACGCCACAGCAGTTTTATTACAATATCAAAATTCTTAAATGAAATGACAGATTTCCAAGAGGGGAACACAGCAGGGTTGTGACAGCACTTTCACAATCATTCACATGGCATTTGATGTGTATTAAGTTCTTGTTGTTTTTTTTACACATACTCTAAGCTGTTCTCCCTACAGATGGCCTGTAGGTTTAGATACTCACCAGTGGACAAAACTCCATCACCAGCAGGTATGGAGTGACCTCAGTGCATTGGGCCAAACACTGCACCAGAGCATGGTGCTGGAGGGTACTGGAGAACAGAAGAGGACAAAAGCATAAGATCATGGCATCGTACAGAAAGTGACACATAATAGTTCTATGGCATTCTTAGACACCCACACTGACATATATTAAGTATAAATATGTTACAAATGATTCCATTATTATATACCAATTCTAAAGAATACATTAAAGTCCCCCTCCACTCGTAAATATGTTTTTCTTCTTGTTCCTACAGTTGGATGTTTGATCTTCACTGTGCAGAATGATATATGAGTTTGGCACTAAAAGGATGTTTTCATCTGCTGAAAGTGAAAGTTTCTCTGTGCTCATTGAACATTTTAAGGGGCGGAGCCTACGTGTATGATATGTGACATCACAAATATCAAACCTGGTACAGTACACAAAGCCACCAGTTGGAGAAGATGTTGAACTGAAACAAGGATTTTTTATAGTTCCTGAAGCACCCTGACAACAGCAATATGAGCTTATTCAATTTTAAATATGAATCTGCACAGTACTCAGCTATCAGATTAATGTAGAGAAGTTAAAACATCTCCCATAATGGCAATACTCAAGTACAGTTCCACCACCTTAAAAGTGATAGTACTTACAGTACTTAAGTAAATGTATGTGTTACCTTACCATGACAGACAGACAGACAGACAGACAGACAGACATTCAGCCAGAAAGAAGTAAATGTGTACCGGTAAGGCTGTGCTTCCTCCAGGAAATGCATCTGGTCCTGCACACTGGCGCTGGCTTTGAGTTCCTTAACCACCACTTGGGTGGTGTTTAGACCTGCATTCACCTCCCCCAGCAGAACCTGAAACAGAACAGATAGAGACATATACGCGCAGGGAAGACAGATACGCAGACAGACATTTACCCCCAAACAAACCCATTAAGCGTGTGTGACCAGACAGACAAAAAGAGATGAAGCAGTCATGCAGGGGTTCAGCGAAGAGGATTCAAAGACAGTGAAGAGACAGAAAAATGCAGACAAACACACATGCAGATGGACATACCCAGTCAAGGTACACAAGGATGGAGATGATGGATGTGTATTCATGAGTGGAAAAATGGAAGAGAAACAGACAGAAGGGGAGAGAACAAGAGAGAACGACAACAACATGTTATCTGGTTGTAAATACACGATACAACACCACATGGTTCAGCCTGCAGTGGCTATTACTTTTAAAATTTTACCAGCATAAAATTTCTTCTTGAGGGCTAAGTCTATCTCTTCTGGGACAGGCTGACATCAAAGGCACGAGGATCAGACTGGCATTACACACTCAGACATTACAGGTAACTCGGTGTGTCTGCCATTTTTAAGTGACTCCATTCTAAACGTGTCTGGGATCACAGCAAAGACTAACTGCCATGATGTGAGTGAGACTCACTGATGCTGCAGGGACAGCAAGGGGCGACTGTCGAAACCACCAGCAGGAAGTTATAAAGATTGAAGTGTGAGAAGTGGGCTTACCTTCCCGAACCAGCCATTTCCAATCTCTTTCAGGTAGAGAAGACTATGGCGGCTAAGATCTGAAGATTTCAGGAGCTGGACTGGAGGAAAAGAAGAGAAAGGAAAAGGTGTTAGAGTGACGGATAATCCTCCACCAGCAGACCCTGTTTACTACAGATCACATTAACATTACAACTAACCATATTAATGTTTTTCTGAAATGTGTATTTGTTCTACCGTTCCAGCAATTTGTTCCCATTAATTTCCACACGATATGAAATTAAACAATATTAGCAAACTCTTGAAACTTGCTTGAGTTGTTTCATCTATCTTACTGAAGAGCAAGTCTGCATTAATTTGATCAACTTTACACTAGAATAATGATGTAATGGCATCAAGTCTTTTCAAATAATTCCACATTTAAGTGGCATTATACAACAATAATAAAACACTGACACATATTAATGCAGTATTGATTGTTTACTCTGATGGATTACACAACTCAAGGAAGCATTGCTATTAGCAATGCTAATCGATTTTCATTCCATATGAAAATGGGTGAAAACCAATGGATGCTTGGAACAAAATAAAAAGATATAATCTATATAAAGAAAAAAGACTGTTATTATAATATTAACTACAACTGTATAACATACATTTGAAAACAGTCCAAAAATATCACGTATACATGATTTGGACTTTATTTGACTAAACCAGCTTTGAAAAGTTTGTTAAAAGGCTGATCATTAGTTATATAAAAAAAGTAAACTTTCATTAAAAAAAGCTTCAATTAGATTTGCTTTCCTTCTATATTCTTTCACTTGTAGTTTCATTGTCAGTACTACATCAACCAGTTTTTGCTGCTTAAAAAAAATCAGGAGACTTTTTTGCATCATAGACTAAAGTGGAGACCAACCTTCATCATTGTTAGCAATGTTTTCACTAGTGTCATATGAAACAGCCATTAGGGGGTGAGCAGGAATAAAAAGACGCACAATACACATTACATGTGTCCTGCAACATTTCATCAAACAACAAAAAACATTTTAATACATTGCATACAATGCAGGCTGGAATGTAAGCTAACATGTTCCTTTAGAAAGGCATTGTTCAACTCATCATTTTAAGTCATAATGCAGTTACAAAGTAAGACAAATTCAAGACAGAAAGTTCTGAAATCATTCTGAGAATAGCTAGAAATTTAAAGTTGGCTTGACATGAAATGGATGAACTTATATTATGCACTTATATTAGGTTATTGATAAAAGACTATCGAGTCATTTATAATATGATGTTGGGACTAAAACTAGGTTTTATTAAAGATAGATAGATGAAGATATAAAATGTCCTCACTTATAAGGAAGGAACTAATAGACTGAAAGAATTAGTCTAGTTTATTAAAAGAGTAAAAAATACATTTAAATCATATAAAACATATGTAACATGCCAGAACGCACCATATCCAGGTTCTTAAGTGGCCTCTGAAGAATCCATCCTCTGTCCGATTATTAACCTTTTTTAAAATGAAATAGCCGAACATGCCAGTGGATGTTGCCCATGGTCTCTGAGTAAACAAACGGATCTCCACTCTTAAGTCTTATTCTATATTGAGCCGAATGTGGCACCAAGCTGTCTGACTGTCCTGCAACCCCCTGATGCATCTCTGTCAGCATCCCCTGATGACCCGAGTCCTTCCTGCCTGTCGAACACGCCCGACCACCCCGTCCCAGCTCAGCCAAATGAAACGGGACTGATGGCAACATCCCCCCCCCTGCCCCTCCATCTCTCACCCCTCACCATCTATCCCTTTCTTTCTCTCTGTGTCTCCCACGATGACACTCAGATTCTGGGTGACAGTCAGATCTTTGTGGTGTTGTCGTCCCCCTCCAGACCGCCACACAGTCCAGTCACTGTGTGGAGGCCATATTGGACACCCCTGTCTCTTTCCCCAGACTGGTCATTCCTTACACCCACTCACGCTCTCTCTGGCCCAAAGCAGAATAACCTCCATTGTCTGGCTGCTTAGGGCAGCATGGCACCAGTTAGGACCGGTTAGTACGCACACACTGGGGCTATTATCCACCAGCTCCATGACATAGGGACTGAGTTTTGGCGAACTCGGTGGCAAGCAATGGGTCCCACCTACTCCATCATTTTAACCTCAAATATTCATAATGCAGATGGAACAATGAGGGGAGGAGGATACATATGGGAGAAAAAACTAAATCATCAAAGACTGTACTATAATATTTATTATCTTTGTTTCTCAGTAGGACGATTAAAAAGAATGAAATTTGGTAGAAACATAAGCGATAGGTCAGGGAACAAGTCTTTAGTGGGCTTTGTTTATTGTAACATAGGGGGTTTTCAACATTTTCACTTTTTGTTTCACGAACTACTTCACTCACAAAGAATCTACATAGTCCATGTTTGTCTGTCACTTTATTGCAGCCTTGGAAGGAGTATACAGTCACTCTGTGCTTTCTAATTTTTATTTCACTTTCATTTTTTTTATAAGAAAATGAAAATATCCTGATTACCCCTGCTAAGTTCTCAGATCTCTTTATAGCCAGTACACTAACTCAATTTCCATTCGACAGCACTGTCTGGTCTTTTCTAAGCTGTGTGCTGCTGAGCATCTACCTCTGAAGAATGTGTCTAGCTTAATTGCTATAGTAGCCAGGAAGTCTTTAGGAGGGAGATGCACAGCGGCTGAATCACTCAGAGCCTAATGGAATTCCCATTATGCTCTTCCAGTCCAGTGCATCCCAGTCCAGTCTCTGCTGAGGTGCTGAGCTGTAATGCTGTCCATGGACAATCATTTAAATTCACTTGTGACATTTGGCTGTTCTTGCTGTGTAACTGGAGTGGAAGTGGTAGCATGGTGGATTTAGAGGTCGATGTATGTGAAAGTGTCTGTTATATACGGATGTGTGGAAATTGTGTGTGTATACATGAAAACTTTTCTGCTCAGATTACTTTTTGTGTGTGTTTTTCACGTCTGAGTGGGTGTGAGCACCATTAGTCCTCGCAGTGCAGCCTGCAGCACAGTACAGCTGCGTCAGGGCGGGTCCTGCATGGGGACCGGGCCACAGACTGAGCCAAGCTCTTACAGTACTGGTGTCTCATTAGGAACTCCACCTATCCACATAGTCCTTTGACAGGCCCACTGCACAGCAGGATGACAGAGGAGATGGGAACATTGGCTGAGAGTAGACTTTCTCATAGCTGCTAAATACTTAAACTCCACATCAACCTCAGCTCTCAAGAATCATTAGAGATTTGAAATCTGAGACCTGCACCTACACAAGACCTCTTTTAAATCAATTTCTCAAAAATCTTAATAACTGCTCTTACTGTGCTCTTTTCTAGTCGTCTATACTTCCATTTATTCTGTTACTAAAACTTTGGTTATTTCGTTTTAATATTTTATCACCCTGTAAAGCACTTTCAACTGCATTTGTATAAAGTGGTGGTATACAAATAAACTTCAACTTGAACTAAGACAGTTGAAAAGAAGACAGAAGACAGCAAATAGTGGGCTAACAAAAATAAGATGACTTATAAGAAAGTATTGTGGATCCATTTAAACCATTCCATTTCTAATTAAAAACTAAAATCAATTTCCCTTCATGATGTCACTGGGTGAGGCAGTCCTGAGGGTGTCGTAATGAATCTCTGACCTCTGCCACTGTTGTTATACCATATGGTTTCTGTTATTCACAGAAGAAAAAGCACATGTTAAAGGGCCAGTTTACCCAAATCACAGAACATAGTTACACTTTGCCCAAGGGGTATCAAGTAGAGTTGTTTCGATACCAATACCAATCAAATTCCTCTGATACTGCGTAAAATCCGGTATTGGCCAGTGCGCTTGTCTGTGCACTGATCTAATACCAAATCATTTATCTACTTCCAAGCAGTGTCCCGTTTGCCATTTTTTCCACAGAATAGTAAAGTCCCTTCTCTGACTCTGATTCTGACAAAGGATTTAACATAAGCCAGGGCACACAACAATGACAGCAATCATACTAGTTTATTAAAAATCAATAATATATATGGTTTTTTTTTATTGGCCGATACACAAAGTAGTATCAGTATTGGTATCAGGAAGGAAATAATGGTATTGTAAAACCAAGCCACGCAGATTTTCATGGTTTTCTGTGCCGGGGTTTTGAGATATCCACCTCTGAAACAATTCAATTCAATGCATTGAATAAATCTCAAAACTTCAAAATCAAATCAATCTGGCTAGATACCACTAAGAGTAAGTTAGAAAGTATATTTTTGATATATTATTGTTTGCCCCTTCATACACTGCCTACGGGTCAATTTAATTCTATTTGAGCTTTGATGGATGCTGATCGCTGAGATAACTGCGTGGGCATGACCCATTAAGTCTCACCACACTCTCCAGTGTCATAAGTTTATCAGGCAGCATCAGCCCATTAACACACAACAAGGACCATTGTCACATAGCAGCAGGAAGAGAGAAAGAGAGCGACAGTGCGAATGAGGAATATTCTCACTGGGGTTTTGTGCTCTCGCATGCCTGACATTCCAACAAGCAGCAGTGTAGGCTGGCCGCCTGGACGTTATTATGCAACGGGCAGATGTTTGTGGGAGAGAGTGAAAGTTAAAGAGCACAGAGTTCATTCTGTGGGGACCTGCAGTGAGGGATTGTGGGATAGGTGGAGGCCCAGCTGAACGAGGCCAGCATCAGGGCGGTGTTCACTCCGGGGACTAACGCCAGATACACAGTTCTCCCTGCTCTTACACCCTTGAAATGTACTTGCATGTGTAAGGCTCTGGCACTCTTACAACGCCATTGCAAGGTTTGCATCAGTTTGCAGCAAATGACTGAAGGCGTAAATTACGAGGCACTGACAAGACGTCAGAAATTGTATCATGATTGGACATTCTTTGACCACCCATTCATCTTATATTTTATCCCTTTCTACAGCTGGGAAAGCGTGTAAATCTTTTTAAATGTTGTGTGGGGATTTCAAAGATATGCTGGTAATTGAATTTGAGCACCAAGTTTAACCTCTTGAGCACTCAATTTTCACTCAAAATATCCCTGTATGAGCCTTTAAAGGACTCCATGTTTGCAAATACCGAAATTTTGTCAGTGAATGTGAATGATTTTGTTCTTATTTCCCCAAACCTTCCACCTGATTGTCTTTCTTTGGAAACTTTGGGAACTTTCAATTTCTGTGGGTTTATTAGTTGCTTTGCTCAAACATGAGTTTGTTTACAGTAGACAGAGCCACAGGTGGAACTATAAGGGGTTAAAGTGAACTGAGTCACCTGATCGAGCAGGTTGCTTCGCGACCGGCAGGGACACCTCGGTGAGTGGCAGGATGTAGACGTCCGGGCTGCCCTGGGAGGCCGGCGAGGCCAAGGTGGACATGTCTGCATGATACTCCTCCCCATCCACATTCTTGAATTCCTGGAAAACACAAATACACAAAGAGGTCAAAGGTCATGCAAAGGAACAGGTTGCTTACATTACAATGACAACCGGTTGGGTTACTTGTAAGGTCACAAATGTGAAGCAACTGGGACAAAAATTGGAAAGAAACCTCACAAACATGCCCTAAAGTGCCTTTAGGGGAATTTAGATCATATAATGTTTGCATATATTACATAGAAATATGTAATATATACTGTATGTAGAAAGAGATAGAATATGTTATGTTAAAACATCATCAAAAAATTGATGATGTTTTGGCTCGACCACTGAGGCAGAAATGAGATAAACAGAGCCAAGCTTTCCTGGCCCGGTTCACTGTTTCTCTGAGCTGTTTGTGAGACCGATTGGAACATCACAGTGTAAACAAAGCCAGTCTGATTTATCCAGAGATTATTTGTACTAAGATTACATGTATCTCAATCCTCTACTTCGCAATTAAGCCTGATAATTTTAGTGCTGAGATGCTTTCTGGACGCTTGCAGAGCAAAGCCTGAAGAGAAGAGCTTCTGTGACTCACTCTCACTCAGCAAGAATGTTTTTTTTTTTTTTAATACATTTGGCTATATATCTGATCCAGCTCTCGGCCTGACAGTCCCCAAATGGCAACAAGCTGGAGATTGATTAATGAGTTTTTACAACTCCGAGAGGCAAAGAGAGAGTAGTGTTTGCACAAGAGACCTTGAGAGCCTGATCACACTCTCATCGCAGGCAACAGAGATCTTCTAATATGGATTAACCATTTTTTTGTATTTGAAACTGTGAACAAAAGAGATCCACATCTGTTAAGAATTTTGAGAGTAACTGCTCTGAAATGAATTACCAAGAAGTGTCAAAAACATGTCCATTTAATGAATCTACGCCAAGTTATCAAAATAAAATAAAGAATACCATTTTGAAGCCTAGAGTTTGGTGTTATTTTGGAGCCAGAAGTGCCCATATTTGGACGAGAGGGTGGAGCTAGGGAGGGTACTATGCTATGCCTCTATCCTGGTTGGATCTGACTGAGAACACGAGGACATGCCATGGTTGCCACGCCCTATAGTATACCCTGCTTTATTGTCTATTTTACTCTAAATGGGGCCATAATTTACTAAATGAACATCANNTCATCAGGAAACTGTTTACTGTGCCCATAAATCAACTGAGAAGCTCTACACACTGGCTGGAGCATCTTTCACGAAGTAAAAAAACTATTCTTCTTCTAATATTAAACAATGCTTTTTTTCACTAAAATTACTATTTATTCAAACCTAAAGCTAACTAACTCAGAATCACATTATCATTAAAACGATTGGGACAGGAGCCGCAGCACTCTCTAAAGGCCAAAAGGAATACTTACTCATACATTTCCATATCATTACTGTTCAAAAACAAGGTTGCTTGGCTTAAGACTAACATTTAATGATTAGCATTTTGATGTAATAATGTGTAAAGAAATAAACAAATAGAACATTCTAGTTTTGGAAAATCCCTTTGAACGACACTGCAGGTTCTAGTGGGCTTTTTATGAGTTTTCTCTGTTAGTGTTACATTGAGGCCTGAGCTGGATGAACACTGAGGAGCCCCTGAAAGATTCCTTCTGTCTGTCGAACGTGGAGACACATCGCAGGATGAAGCAGAGGACGAAAGAGAGGAGGGAGTTGGCTGTATCCACGGACCGGATGTCAGAATAAAAGTCCCTTAGTTGAGAGCTAGAGAGCAGCGGGGTCCCAACACTGGAAAAATGTGACCTTCTGTAGCCCTCTGCAACACCCACACAAACACACACACA